ACAGCCGTTGATCGCAAGCACTATACTGTATATTGAGTTGTGTTTAATATATCGTTCTGGAGCGCAAAGCTGCGAGGGTGCTTTCAGCGCTGATGTACGTCGGCAGCATCGACTCCATGTATCGCAAGCGATTCCATGATGGAAGGAATGGTAGGCCAAGACAGTGCATGTGCAGATGCGGTATAGATGCGAATGGTGGGAGATGAAAGCCGAATCTGCACAAAGTCAACTATTATGAGTATCTCATCATTGAGCAGTCCAGTATGAGTTTCAGCCTTGTACCGGCAGTTGCCTTCATCCTCGAACCCATCACTCGCTAATATCCTCTTTCCTGTCTCCATCATGTGCTTCACTGTAAGTAATAGCAACAGGTCAAAGCATTTCAATAAAGTTACCGCTATGCATACTACATACAAAGTTCGCAATGCGCCGGCGTGAGGTCGCTAACGTAAGAAATATGTTCATGTGGAATCACCAGTACGTGCTTCTTGGCGCGTGGAATACGATCTAATATTGCAATAATCTTCGCATCCTATTGCAGCGACGCAATACTTGTGAGTCGAGTTGTACAAGTCGTAACTTCATCGCTTACCTCGTACACAATCTGATGCTTTTCACGAAGCGAATTGGAACAGAACACACAGGAACGAAAACCTCGCATTCCGTTGCACTCAATTCTTAATTTTGTCTGTCACAAATTTTGTCTCATAATTCAAAATACTCAAAACACCAGACCAATCTCAACGTCTACTTGCGTAATGTACGGTTGAAACTCTCATGACTTTGTGTGGATAAGCCCTCAAAGCTCACGTTTGACTTTTAACCGCAGACAATCACCGTTTAGACTCAACATAGTTATATGTTTGTTAAGTTGTTACTCGGACTTGTTCCTTCTAATTTGCTAAAGCAACCTAATCCTGTGGTGCTTTCACGCATTGACACCAATTTTGCCTTTCGACCCTTTAATAGAAGTTGTGGGTAATTTCTACTTCCAACACAGTTGCTCTACTTGGCTGCAACTGAAATTGATCAGCTGACATGGTTGGTGTAACACGTACCGCTTCCTCACAGCCTCCAGCGCGCCAAGCGACTCGGCACCCATTTACAAGTAAATCCCGGCCCCTCATTGCTAAGTGCTGGATGGCAACGCCTTTGAAAAAGTATTGCAAGGTTTAACCATCCTAGCATCCGAAGAATAGCGCTGCCGAAATGCACTTGCACTACCTCCATCGCTTGTCGATGCAAAGAACTGCACGTACATGTGGATCCCTGCTGCACGTTTAGCAGCTGAATGTTAAATGGACGAGCTATGTGTATCCTTAAAAGTGGATTATCAACCGGAACTATGCCGTAAAATTTTGCAACTGTTTGCGTGCTGAAATTTGTCCGCATCCGTAATCAAGATTTTGGCTTTGTTTGCACGTCAGACGAGGCACTTCGATATTTGGGGTGTTTTAAGCTCAAGACTTGCGTTACGTTAGGAATCATAAAAAAATTAATCGATCGTCGACATTATACAACTGGTAAGCTAATCACAACGCTCGACCTGTGCTTTTCACAGCGACTTACGATAACGGCATGCTCTCATCAAGAGCCCGCACTATATATTACAATACGTTTTCATGCCCACCTGCCTTGTTTGAGCCAGACCTTTGCGAAGAAACTTACTCCGAGTTGATTGATACGCCTTACTTCGTTCAAATACAATTCCGCAAGCGCAACCGCTTACGCCCGCCGTCGCTTCGTCCAACTGCACGCATGGTATCCGATGTCTAAAACGCAAGGATGCTTGGCAAAAATTAGCACCCGCGCCGGCTGCCGTCTCTGCGCATGTGGATACTTCGTGGCTGCAGCGGGGCCGCCGTAGCTAAGCGATTGATGAAGCGTACTTTGAGTCACGGACCTTTCGTTCTTTACAATAATCAAGTATGAGTTAGCGGGTCGCAATCCGCTTACTTCAAGAGTAATCATTTTTTCCTTTCCACGGCTAATAGACATTATATTCATAACTGATTTTTATTTTTATTCATTCTAATTTTAAAAGTTTCGATTTTCTCAAATATATTAAATATATATATTAAGATCTAAATACATGCATAATTACTGGCTACCTAGCTCACATACCGTATTCTTGTTTGTGTGCAGTCACACCATACACATCTCGTGTGACACACACCTGCTACCAGTATATGTGTAATCCCGTGACACCCTCTTCCCATTAAGATTGAGAACATTTACAGTCCAATCGATTGGTGTCTGAACGAGGCTCGCGTGTCCGTTAGACACTGCAACTTAATTTATTGGAGCTTAACAACTTTCTTGTTCAATGAGCCCTGTGTCCACGACACGAAAATCACCAAGTCTCTCTGGTTCTGACAGCGAGGACGCGCAGAGCCCAACTTCGTTCCCCGTACGTGGTACGATGTCGGACAGTGCGTCCACGGCACCAGGATGTATATCCTAGGCTCAATGAGCACAAGCGTCGCGCTCCGCACACGCTATCAGTGACGATCGACCTCGTTGAGGATGTGGGGTTGGTCGACTACGAGTCTAATATCCCCTTTTCCCGCATGGGATGACGAGGAAGGCAAGCTGCACCAGCAGCCTGATACGAGCCCTGCTCGCCCCTTGCGGACCCCATGTCCGTTTCCTGACTTCTCGTCACCTGAGGGACGTTGTGTAATCACCAACGACCTCGACGTGAAACAGATACGACAGCTTGAAGCTGCCCATAAGGCGGCTAAAAAGCGCGCCCATCCATGGTCGCTCATGACCCTCGTGTGGAAAATGGATCCCGCCCTGTGGATCCCGCTTTGAAAGCAAAGAACATGGTAACTCGATCATTACGCGTCACATCATCGCGCCCCCGGCCAGAACGGACGATGAACTTGCCACATGGAAAGCTCTTCGAGCTCTTTTCTTGGTCCCACAAGAAAATCCGTTAGACGTTTATCGCACTCGTCTAAGTGCTCAACGAGTTGGCACTCGTGTACCCGCAATGCAGACAATACCTGTAGTGCTCACCCCTGGCGAAAGCACTACAGATGACGAAGCGCTCTTTGAGTGATGGGTGCAACGGCACCAAAAACTTTCCTCACTGCATAATCTGTAGTTGAGCCACAAGGAAGTGGAAGTGTGTGTGGAGCGACACCTCCGATTTGAGTTTGCCAAACTCAAGGCACGCCGTCGACTT